ATGTATATGAAATGCAAATAAACATCTTTCTGTATTAATCACGTGATGGGTGGAAATGCCTTCTAAGCAAGATTAAGTAGGAAATCTTCAATGTATTCTTGTTGTAATTTTTATTTATCTTTTCAGAAAATAAATGCTAAGCTTCATGATGGAGTGTGTCAGCATTGCAAAGGTATCTTGGAGTGGCGGGTAAAATTCAGCAAGTACAAACTACTGTCAAAACCTAAAAAATGGTGAGTTAAGATACTTTATGTTGATCATTGATAGTATAGTTTGTGAACTTTTTGGAAAATATTGTAGTTTTGGAAACTCACAAGTAGTAGCTGCTACTTTGAATGCAGAGTCTGCAATCACAATATAGACGCAATGTTAATTTTCTAATTCATTAATCTTTTATCTTAAACTTTTGAAAAGAAAACAGTGTAAAAACAACTGCTTCCCTCTTTGTTGTTGAAATGTTTGAACTGTGGACCTGTAAGTTTCCAAAACTGTCAGTGTGCCCTCCTGAACAAAAAGACAAAACGTCACCAGTTGTAACACGATTTTCCAAGGTATCGTTGCAGGTTGATACTAGGGGAATCTGCACATCTCTTAACTTTTGTTGTTCACAAAGACTATCTAGTAGAGAAAGGAGGAGACGAAGGCTTTAATTCTGTCAGCAACACTGTTATCAACATTACTGAGGCCTTAATTCCTACAGAACGATTGCAATACATGCATTTCATTACCTCTTAGAATATACCTCTTTTTGGACTTTAAACTGTAATCCCGAATATTAAATGTTCAGCATTGTTTGCATACAGTTCTGTGTTAGGTGGTTTTGGGTAAGTACTTAACAAAGATGATAAGTATCTTAAAATAATTTACAGGTTTGTGATAGATTAATCTTCTGAAGTTGGGTACTCTCTGCTTCCCTCTTACTTGCTCAGCTGCAGAGGTCCTTACACTGTGGCTGCAGACACAGCCAGTGTTTTGACCATGATGATGAGCTCAGATGAACTGCAGCTGGGCTGTGGTGTGTGATGTACCCAGCTTTCTCACCGTAGTTCTCTCTGTCTTTGCATGTTCTCAATTACATACTTCTGAAATACTCGTGAACTATTTGAAGAGGTTCTGTAAAGGCGTGTGTGCAGTTCCCTGAATGTGTATTTTATTTGGATTTTCAGTAGATTAAAAGGGAAGGAATGTTTGTTCACCCTATATCCACCACATGTGAGAAGTTTCACCTTTTGATATGAAACCATATGCACCAAATATTTTGGTTTTAGTAAACAATGTCACCTTTCATGTAAAAAAAATAAAAGTAATTTTGATTAGGTGGAAGTCTCACTGGTTCTCAGAGTGAACATTCTGGGTTCTATTCAGCGTGGATGAAGTTGGGATTTGTCTTTTTGTAACTTTCTCAAATGAGTATGTGCATACTGTTTAAAAGTAATGAGCTGTAACAAATCATGTAGTGGTGGATCTGGTTCTTTGCCTCTTCTCTGCCTCCTCCCAAAGGAAGAAAAGCATATAAATCAGAGAAGCATTGGAAATAGAAAAAGTGTCATTGTGGGACAGCTCCTTATGACACAATTTGTGAAGTTTTCTGTCATGCTTTTGAACAAACAAATTCGGCTGCAGACCATTCCAGCTCTGCGGGTGGTGTTTTCTAGCCCAGCCTACAGCAGTACAATGGTTGAGCAGGCTGCTGTTCTGAAAGGACAAGACTATGGAGATTTTCAATGGATGAAGCTTCTAGGTGAAGTAAACACATTATAGACATTAAAAATGTGACGGTATGGAAAAAAAAAAGAATTCTTCACACCACAAATGATGGGAATGGAGGACTGCTCTGTACCTCAACTTATTTTTAGTTTTTGAACATCTTCAAAATTGTGATTGTTAGTATAACCACAAGTTATCCCTACTTTAATTCTATTCTAAGTGTTTAATTATTACCAATTAATATTGTAATTGAAAAAAATTGTCTATCTACCTTGTGTTAATAGTGCCCCTGTTTGGTGTGACAACTGGAAATTGCTGTAGACATTTTTTTAATACTAATGCAACTGAACACAGAAGAAAGGAAAAAAAAAAAGCCAAACCTCAAGCTGATTAGGTATTTTCAGTGACATATAACTATGGGTTTTTCGTAGGGGAGAGGGAAGACCAGAAACACTAGGCAGTTCAGCCTTTGCTTTTATGAAGTGTGTCCCACAGCGATTCTTGTGCTTTAACAGCTTCTTGAGGAATTGGATACATGCATCTTAGTAGTGAAAGCTCAGCAGAGCCTGCGTGAAGATGGCAGTGAGAAGGCGATACAGCTTAAGAATGGGATTTGAGAAAGCAAGTAAAAATTGTGTTTCACTTGATGCCGGTTAGTGCACCTGTCCTTGTAAGGCATGCACTCTCGGTATTTTTCTTCATCCTGTTTTAGCCAAGTCTGCAAATCCACTGTTCAGAACTGTGTGCTAAATCTTTCCAGACGGACTTCTGAGTGCCTGAGGAACCAAGAAAGAGTGACTTTTAGGGCAGCTGCGTTACGTGGGATATGTAGTTCCGGGTTCTGTTCTCCAGAAATACAAGGCTTTAGAAATGCCAGCTGAATGTTAAGCCATAACATTTTAGAAATGACTTATTCTACAGAGTTTTGTCATATCTTGAAAAAGAATAGCCATAAACCTCTACGTAATTAGGTTGGGTTTGTTCAGAATACGGTTCTGTGCAGGCTTGTCTTCATAGAAAGCAAGTTCTAGCACTGGGTCTGTTTGTACTCTGAGAACTTCAGGAGGAAGACATTATAGTCTTTTGAATTGAAAGCTTTTTGTTTGTCAAATGCATGCATCTTTTAATACTATAGTCTTATTTTCTTTTATTGTTAAACCAGAAGAAGTAATTATGTAGCTTTTAAAGTAAAACTACTTACTGAAATGAATGGACAGGTTTCTTTTGTGACTTTGAATATAAGAATTCTCGATTTTATGTTTCTTCTTCAGTTCTTGTTTTAATAATTCTTCTTGAAAAAGTTAAAGGAGAGGGAAGACCAGCAATGATTTTGATAGTGCCACTTGTTAAAACAGGAATTGTTTCATATGAAACTGACCTATAACGTGTTGTTCCTCTTTTGAAGAGTATGTCTATATTGTCTCTGAACACAGAATGTTTAATAAGTGTCCACAAGTATTTTTTCAGTCACATTTTCTTTCTCTTCACAGTGTGAAGTGCCTCCAGAAGACTGTAAAAGATCCTTACCATATTATTTGTCGACCATGTGCTGGTAAACTAGAAGTTTGTGCTAAATGTGGAAAAGAAGAAGAAATAGTAATTCCGTAAGTAGCTAATAGGTTACATAGTTTCAGTACTGCACTGTTTCTTCCCCTTTTAATAAGGCTTGTTTGGAAACTGCCAAGAAGCTGTTGTACTTCCTGCCATATTCTGAATAATCTGATGGGAATCCACAGGAGTCATTACTCTCACTTTCTTCTCCTGAAACTAGGGGTGAAATACCCATTGATGTTAGTGGGGCTGGACAAAGAAGTCTTACTTGGATAAGACACTTTATTTTAATACCAAAGGGTAAGTGGCATATCGTCCTTAGGAACAAAGCACTTCAAAATGGATTTTGGTATAATGCACCATAAAATATGCATAAGCCAGTTTACTGTTTGTGTTTTGTCTGCCTTTTGATGTTTCAGTTACTAGTGAACAGAAAAACTAAACAAGGGCTGATGTTGAGCACAGTTACTGCAATGTATTTAGCTGGCTTTTGGTTTTTTGATTCTTTTACTAGAGTTCTCTCTTTATTGAGCATCCTATATTAACGTACTAGTTTGTGACAACTGGCAAGCAGTTGCCTAGTTGGTCATACTGTTCATATATATATATTTCTTTTTTCTTCACAGACTCTTTTTCCTTTACTGTCTGTTTATAACTTTCCTATTCAATATGAAAGTAACGTTAGGTCTCCTTTTCCTCATCTCCTGCCCCCTTCCATCCCCAGTAGAATATTCTACCATTCTTCCCATTCTTATTTAGAAGAAAAATAAATTCCAAAAGTGGATGATAACATCCTCTTGCTTTCTGCAGAATCTGTAAAGGACAAGACAGAACTGAGAGTGTGACTACTGAAAATGGCCAAGAGAGCAGTGGATTGGAGGATGACCTGGATTTTGATACAAACTGCAGTAGTACAGGCAGCGATGAAGACTCTGATGTGCTTAAAGAACAATTTAAAAGCATGAATTTTGAAAGGACAGAGATCTAAAAAGTTGATTTTATACGAGAGACTATATACAATCAAAAGTGGTAAACCAATGTTTGCCCTAAACTGCTCTGAAAACATGATTTGACATCCAAGCTCCTTACATACACATGTTGACACTGCATTATGACACTTGCTGGGGGTTTCGTGTGGATAAATATATTTTTGTAATTAAGAGCAGAATTTCTTGTGAAAAGGTTCAGAAATTGAATCTTTAAGCATAGTTATTTCTTGGATACATGTAACAACTTCCTGTTTCTCTGGAATAAAGTTTGTTTCTTTTGGTAATTGTTCTAAATTCAGTATTACCTGACTGTTGTATTGCCACTTGGAAAGCTACATGAAAGTCTAGAAGAAATACAGAGTCTTGTCATAAGAAGGAAGAACTAAACCAGCTGTAATAGTTTGCTGAAGGAACAACTTGCGACTTCGGTCAATGAGTTTCCAAACAGGGTCAAAATACCAAGTGGTCGTTCCCTTTATGCCTATTGTTTCTTTTTCTTCACAAAAAAAAAAGAGAGTCTAAATGCCATCACCAGTATAGTTCATGAGTAGTCAATGCTTATTTACCAGTATAGTTCATGAGCTTATTTATCACCAGTATAGTTCATGAGCAGTCAATGCATATAAGTATGCATTACAAATCTGTGACCTTGTTGCTACCAATGTTTTGAAAAGAAAAAAAACCTGAAGACTTTTTAAAATTTCTCATAGTAGGTCTCACACTTTCATTTCCTTTGCAGATCTAATGTAGTTTGCTCTGATATGAAAACACTTGTGCAGTGTAGTGATGCTTCTGATTTTCTGTCTTTCTGATTTTCAGTTCTTTCTAGGAGTTGTTTCAATGTAGATTAAGGTCTAGGAAGAACTTAAATGGATTTGCAGTAACTTTCTTTTACAGGATTCAGGATGGTTTGATTTCTTCTGTGTTGTCTGCTACCTCTACAAATAAAGCCAAACACGTACTTCCTAATAGTTAAATGGTTTAACCGATGACAGTATACGATACCGTTTTTACTAACCACCTGCTTTGATATTCTGCCAGTAGTGTCACGGAAAAATTTCATTCCTAAACGACCTTCTTCAGATGAATTATGTGGGACTTCAGCTCAGGGATTATTCACGCACACACCCTGCGCCAACGGGAGAAATGCTGAAACTTTGTCCTTTGGATAGAGGTAGCCGCCATGTGGCTGCTGTAGTTGACCTTAACTTTAAAGAAAACCTAATCACCAAGATGTGGTAATTACCAAGACATTCAGCAAGCCTAGAACCTGCTTTGATTTTAAAGGATAACTTTAGTATTGACAATAACTGGCAACAGCAAAATTCTTGTAATCAGTCGTGGAACAGTGAGATTTTACTCTTTTTTATTAACTGTGTGGGTGCTTGTCACTGCACATAAGGCCTTAAGGATAAGCTGCTTCTCTTATTATTTATTTATATTTATCTTTCACTCTGTATTATACATTCAAACACCCATTTATCTTTTCTAAACCATTTGTAAGTTTGTATCTTAATGTCCAAAACACGCTTTTGCAGAGATCTTCAAGAACTAGTAAATCTGCTTGGTTTCTTTTTTCTTTTCTTTTTTGTTATTGTTGTTCCTTTTCTGTGCTGCCCTTCTGCCACTGAAGAATTTTATTCCCTGTGTTTTAATTTTTCCGTCCCATTTAGATCTTTTGCCCAGGTAGATTTTTGCTTAGTGTTTTGTGATAACCACTAGCAGTAAACGATTGAAAAACATTCTACTGGTCTTCTCTGTTCCCATGGTGCGTTGTGACTTTTGTGGCTTTTCACCAAGACAAAGTCTAATGCTAAGTGCTTGGGTGATGCCCTGTTTCCTTCTGGATTACTTAGTGCATAGTTGTTTGCAGTCATAAAGGACTAGGACTGATGACCCAAACAACCCATCTCCTTTCTCCACCCTCTCTATAAACCTGTTGTTTATAAGTGAAACCACTAGTTTTGTGATTAAACTTACTGGCTCTTTCACTTAACTGCAACTAATGAAAACCAGGAAATTTGTAAGTTTGAAATTTGTCGAAGGGCAATGATTTGTTTTGGAAGAGTCAGTGAAGCTTTAAAGAGCCCAGAGATGCTTAGTGGCAGAAAAGGAGGTTGGCTGCTGTGTTTAGAAGTGACTGGAAACTGGTCTGAAGGTCACGTTGCGTTGACAGATAAATCCTCCCAACAGGACAGTGGTGACATCTGACTTAGTGTGACATCACCTGTTGTCCTGCCAGTTGACGTGGATAAAGACGGGGTGAAAAGGAACATCACACACACACAGGGGCTGGGCGGTAGAGGGGAGTTAATAAGTAATCTGGAGTTGTCTTTGGAAAGGGTCTTTCTGAAGGGGAAACCAGGAGTGTCATCAAAAGTGAACTTGGCTTCTGAAAGTGACATACATGTGGGAAACGTTCTTCCACTTGGAAAAATTAGGTAACGACCTAGCCCTTTGCCCAGAGGTGAGAGGAAATCCTGAAATGATAGGAAAACGTGTCATGGAACTGGCAGAAGCTGTGTAATGAGAAAATAAGGGTGGTGGTGACACAGCCTGTCGGTGCTGAGGAGGAGCAGTGCCAGGCAGATGAGCAATGTGTCGCAACAAAACAGAAACGTTAGGGAGAGTCCTCTGGAGTCAGCGTCTTCGCGTCGCACCACTGGTGCACCCTGCGGAGTTCAGGTGGGCGCATGGTGCTACAGTCGGTGAAGCTGCTGGGAGTGAGCACAGCACAGCATGGCAGTGGCCTGGTGTCAGTCCAGCCTCTCCGAAGACAGCTTTAGGTTCTGGCGGGTGTTTTCCGTCTCTGGTCACAACGGTGGTCAAAAGACGTGGCTCGAATTGGTTGCTGTGGCTCAAACCGTGCGCGATAGTGGTTGTGAGTCAGCTTGCAAAACTGCTGACTTGGAATGGGGGCACGTTTGCTTTTATAGGAAAAAGGAGTTTCTGTTTTACTGAAAACACCTCTAACGGGAATAAAAGGAACAATTTTAGATTTCTTGTTTAATTTTGACCGAAGTTAGGCTGTATTTGGAATTGCAGTAAGATATTATTTTTCTAAGACTTTTAAGTAATAGTTCTGAATTTCAAGGTTGGGATTTTTTTGTGAATAACTTGTGGAACAGAGGGTTGTGCAGGGACAGGACCCCTTTAAACCCTGATCTTCAGTAAAATCATATATACAGAGAAAATAATTAAAAAAAATGCAGGAGAACAAAAGTAAAAATTATTTTTGAGACAGTCTTTAGAGGAGTTGCATATTTAGAGTTTTCAATTGAGATTTTGAAAGATTTCTACCTCTACTTTCACAAAGAATAACAAATTTGTGTTTGTTTGAACTTCAAAAGAGGGGAAATAACAATACCACCATACCTGCAGGATACTGAGATGCCGTTTAAATGATCTACCTAGGATGACTGAACCCTGTGGGTCCTTACCAAATAGATTACTGAAGAAGAGAATGACAGACGTTAATAATTAGTCATCTGAAGAATAAAGGAGATGAAGTGATGCTGCTGACACAGTTGGATTCCTGTTAACTGATTGTCCTTGGGAGTGTTACAGATTCTCATTTAGTGTGACTCAATACTGACAGTAATTAATTAGATACTGGACTGTTGGCAGGCATGCAAGATGAGTCTCACTTCGCAAGGGGAAATGTTTATCATAGGTTTGAGCTGTCAGAACTTGTTATTTTTGACTTGTACAGGTTTCTGGAAAACCAAATTCTCATATATAAGCATTCCTTAGGACAATCTGGATCCACTGCAGTATGAGGAGATTCCAGTATGGACACAGTGCTGCCTCCTAGCATAATTCCTTAACCTTCTCTGTCAAAGTTCACAGGTATCTCTGAGACATCCTGTCATCAAATGTTTTGAAGTATCAGGCGATACAAAAAGCATTTCCCAATTATTTACTTCTAGTTTTGCATGGGCTGGGCTTTTCTATTCTTGTCTTGGCTACTGATTAATCTACATTATCCTACAGTACTAAAATAATAGCAGCCTCCGAAGGTTTATAGGACTACTAGCTAATTAGGAAAAGGATGGCTTGTTTTCTCCCTATAATGGCCATGTACTTGGGATGCTGAGATGCAAATCACAGAATTAGCAAGGAAAATATAGCAGGTAGTCAAATGTGAGCCACCTTGTAACCCTCTAGTCCTGCAATTATATGTGTTTTTTTTGTTCACAAGTAAACGGGTGCTGGGAGAAAATGCAAAACTACCTCTGCTTATGGGAAGCATCAGGCCAGCTTACACAGATAATGAGGAGAGGTTTGTAAACAGCATGGAAAGACATTCTTAATCATCACATTCTTAGGGAGCTGGTCATGCACACTGTCAGCATCTGTTTCACTTCATTCTTCTGCCTAACTTTTATCTGAAAGCTGTCAAGAGACAAAACTGTATATGAAAAAGACAGTATGTGCTCTGCATCCATGCTCTTGTCACATACTGTGAGTGTGTAAAGTAGGGTTCCTAAACCTCAAAACAGTTGAAAATACACTAGTATTTGAAGTGAGGTACATCTGTCTAGGGGTTGATAACATGTTCTCAGACAAATCACCTATAACAGACCAGAAATTAAATATTTGGCATATTTCAGATAGCAGATTTTCCTGTTGGAGCCTCTAAAATAGTTAAGATGAAATCACATGAGAGTTCTCTTTTCACAGAATCACAGAATCACAGAATGTTAGGGATTGGAAGGGACCTCAAAGGATCACCGAGTCCAATCCCCCTGCCTGAGCAGGACCACCTAGATCAGATCACACAAGAACGCGTCCAGGCAGGTTTTGAACATCTCCAGAGAAGGAGACTCCACAACCTCTCTGGGCAGCCTGTTCCAGTGTTCTGTTATCCTTACTGGGAAGAAGTTCTTCCTCATGTTTAAGCAGAACCTCCCATGTTCCAGCTTATATCCATTTCCCCTTGTCCTATCATTGGATGCCACTGAGAAGAGCCTGGCTCCATCCTCATGACAGTCACCCT